ATATATATATATATATATATATATACATATATATATATGTATAAATATATATATATATACACATATATATATGTATATATATATATATACACATATATATATGTATATATATATATATATATGTATATATACATACATACATACATATATACATGCATATACATACACACACACACATACATATATACACATACATATATACACATACTGTATATATATATACACATATATATCTGTGTACATATATACATTGATTAGCCCGTCCTTCAGACTTCATCGGTGAGCTTACCTTTGCTTTTCCTCCCCGAGTCTCCAGAGACAACTCCTCCAGCTCCTTCAGGATGTCGTCCTCACTGCAGGAGGTGAAACACACACATTAAAAGGGACGAAGAAGAAGATGAAGAAGATGATGAAGAGGAGGAGGCGTCGTACTCGTAGTCCTCCTTCTTGGCTCCTTTCTTCTTCTTCTTTCCCTTCACCTCCTTCAATGCTCCAGCTCCTTCGATCTCTGCGGCCAGAGCGTCGATGTCGACGCCGTCGTCTTTGGCGCTGAAGATCAATAACGAAAACAATCAATACATGATATCAATAATATATATATATATATATATATATATATATATATATATATATATATATATATATATACACCAGCCTCGGGAGCAGGACTCTGTGGGGGGTTCTGTGGGGGGTTCAACATGTGACTGTGAGGCAGAGACAGACTCTTTGTCTCAGAACAATGTGGATGAAAAGCTGCTGACTGGATGCTTTTCATCACACAGACGTTTATATTTCCCATCAGCCACCTGTGAAACGCTCAGGATCTGACCTGAGACCAGCTTCATTCTTCCGTACGCGAGACGTTATCAATAGACCACAATAAACATGACTTTAATGGACCACAATAATATTAACGATAAATGTTTAGAACGTGACAGAGCTCTTTAATTTATTCATCCTTTTAAGTTCTTCACTATTTATTTTCCTGGTTTTTATTTAAATAAAAATGATTTATTGTTGCATTCATTTTTATTTAGATATTAAAGTTATATTATTCATTTTTGAATGTATGTATTTTTTTAATTATTGTATTTAAATGTTTTTGTTTATATATCTTCTGTATATTTTTTTTATTTATTTCTTTATGCATATATATCTATACATCCATAAATATATATACATATTCACATATCTATATATATCTATAAATATATACAAATATATATACATATATAAATACATATATATATATACATATACATATATATATATATATACACATAAACTGGGAATTATTGTACATTATACTGCACTATATTTCTCAAATTACTTCTATTATACATTATAAATATCTCATGTTTTTATATTTGTATGACATGATGCAGTATTATACTCCTGATGTACACAAACTGTCTACATTGACATACTACGTTAAAATACTCTTATAAACAGCAATATAATATTGTATAATAATACAACAATGTGCATAATATGCAGTACTTTTACTGCCTATAACTGATAGTACTTCCATGTAGTTCATGTTTTGATGGCAGTACTTGTACTGAAGTATATATATATATTCAGCGTAGTACCTGTATACTGACACAGTAAGGTGCTACCAACTAGCTTAGCATCACTCAAGTACACAGGTATTGTTAGCATGTAGCAACTAGCTCCCACGTGCAGTTTAACGGTTGTTTAACTGACTGTCAGGGGCTCGTGCGCGATCATTAAAGCCCGCGAAAAAAAGAAAACGAGAAAAGAAAAAAAGCTGAAAGTCAGTGGAAGCTAACGCTAAGCTATGCTAACCATGATGCTAACCAGGCTGGTTTCTCGTGGTTTAAGTTAGCTTAGCACCAGCTAGCCACTAAGCTAACGGCAGGGCCTGTTTTTTTTTGGAGCTCAGACTTCACACCTGTCCCAGGTGTCCGCGTGCACACAGGTGCTGAGTGACGTGTTTTGTCTACCTGTCCTCTCCGGACTTCTTCTGTTTCTTCCCCATCCTGCTGGTTCTCCGGTTCTCTCCGCTGGAAACACGACGGGCTCGCATCCAGACAAAGATCGCCTACTATCGGACATTTAGGAGGAAGTCTCACTCCAAAAATTATTATTTAACGACCGTTAAAATTAGAAAATGTGTTTTTGTTTCTTGTGTGTTTGAATCTGGAATTCATTTTTAGTCATTTTATCTGATCTAGAGTTTCTAATTCCAGTGAGAAAGTTGTTCTATTTATTCAAACTTAAAATTAAAAATTAAAAATAACATGCAGAACATATATAGTATAGAAAAATTCAAAAATAATGTAATTACATAATCTCTGTAAACAAAATATGTATAAATGTGATGAGCCCATGGCAAGCAAAATATATATTAACAAATATAAATATGTAGTAAATATAATATGAATATCTGCAGAAAAGAATATAAATAAATAAGCGTTTAGTCTCAGGAGAAAACAGCGTAGTGACACCTCTCCCCTTTTTCTCTCTTCCCCAGCAGCACGCATGGCTCGGATCGGGAGAACTGCGCATGCGTCCTGCGACATGACCTGTCTTGAGCTTCGTCATGTTTTATGACCCAAATACATATTGTAAATAATCAATAATCGATTTATTTGAATGATTAATACATTCATTCATACAGATTAAAATGTGTCAAAGCTTGAATGAGGCTGTCAAGCTTTTATTTTGAAAGGTCAGTGCTCAAGTTTCCAAGTTTTTTACATTTAAATGAGAAAATAAACAGTTTATTTATTTATTATGTGGATTTATTATAGCAGGAAAGTCTTTTAAATTAATACTTTGTCCTGTAATAATAATTAATACATCTCTGTATCTAAGTGTGTAATTATTGTATATATACACATATATATATGACAATAAATCATAACAGTTAACAAAATTAATTATTAAACATGTAAAAACATATAAAAAACGGCAAAAATCATTTGATTGATTATCAGAATATCAGCAGTTTAATGTTCACGTTATTAATGTTGTGTGTAATGAACTGTGCAGCCTCCAGGGGGCAGCAGCAGCACATGGACCAGTATAAATATAATATAATATACATATATACATATATATATATGTACATATACATATATATACATATACATATATATATCTATATATACATATACATATACATATATGTACATATACATATATATACATATACATATATATATATATATATATATCTATATATACACACATCGTGTGTATTTCAGCCCATCACAGACACCACGGCGTCACAGAGGTTGCGTAATCGTCCCCTCAGCTCGCCGCTCTCCGATCTCGTCACCTCAGAAAACACGGCGGCGGCTCGATGAGGACAGAACCGCCCGCCGACCAGCACGCCGCTCAGCTCGCCGCTCAGCCGGCGGGGCAGCCAGTGGGGGGGGACGTCCAGCTCGCAGCTCTGGACCACGCCCCCTTTCACCTCCACCTGCAGCCGGGCGGAGCCGCGGGCCGCCGACCGCTTGTCCACGAGCTCCAGGAGGGTTCGGACGCTGAATTTGGGCGTCCGGCTGAACGTCCAGTCCCAGCCGCGCAGCTCCGCCGCGGCCGCGGTGATGCCGGGGAACGCTGACTCATCGGTTGGGTCGACGGGCGTGGAGGCGGAGCCTAAACCGAACACTGAGGGTCAGAAAAAAAAGACTTTTGTTTTTTAAAGGGTCACTGTGACGTCACAGTGTACTGACACCCCCCCGGAGTACACTGTGAAATCACTGCAGTGACAATCACATCATCAGCAGCTTTAGATGAGCACCTCTGATGTTATTGTAAATTACCTCTATTATTTGCACATATGACCATTTTGTAGTATCTTTGTATATACTTTCTATATATTGCATTTAAATGTTTCTTTGTATTGTATTTGAATTGTTCTTGAGATTTTATTTGAATTTTTCTATATATTTTCTGTATATAGTATTTATATTTTCTGTATACAGTATTTATATATAGTAGTATTATTTAAATAACAGTATAAAGTGTATTTGCTGTAGTGACACCAGACGACCAGCAGAGGGCGCTGCTCACCACAGAGCCCACACCACTAGAGGTAGAGGTTCCCTGCTCACCTGCTTTGTACTGGTGCACCAGTGCCTCCAGTAGCTCCTCCCACAGCAGCGTGGGGGCGTGGTCTAGCAGGTTGGCGATGGGCGACGGCACGCTGGGTGTGGCGTTGCTATGGATACCGGGACAAGAGGGGCGGAGCAAGGCGGCGAGGGTGGAGCGGTCGGCGGAGTGCAGCAGGGTGCAGTGGTGGTACGACGACTTCCTGCTCAGTCGGGACGCACTTCCTGTCAACGACATCAAGTTTATCGGTACATGTTTCTGCTGCAGTGCACTGTGGGATACGTAGTCGTCCTACCAGAGATCTTGAAGTGTCCGTTGAGCAGAATGTCGAAGCGCTCGGTGGCCCGGACGTCCAGCTCCGGACGGATCCTCGTCAAGGCCTCCGTGATGATCCTCAGGTTCCTCTGACGGTCGTAACCCTTCTTGGAGGAGAAGAACGTCAGGTTGAGGTTCCCGAGGTCGTGGAACACGGTTCCCCCGCCACTCCGCCGGCGAGCCAGAGGGACGCCGGCGCTCCTCATGGCCGGCAGGTTGCACTCGGTCCACGGGTTTTGGTGGCGCCCGATGACCACGGACGGCCGGTTCCTCCACAGCAGCAGGACGCCGCGACGCTCCAGGTCCACGTTGGCGTCGATCCAGTCCTCCAGAGCCAGGTTCTGGAACACGTCGGTGGACCGGGACTGCAGGACCAGCCCCCCCCCCTCCGCCGATGGAGGCGGAGCTTGTCCGAGCCGGCTGGAGGACAACTGAGCAGCTTCTGCAGAGAGACAACGTCCTCCTGATGTGGGACATCCTGGCTTCAACAGCTCCTAGCTCCAGATGTTGGACATCTGGATACCAGGAAGTCACTCTGAGAATAAGAATACATAATAAAACATTTAAGTACACTTTAAGTACCAAAAGTAAAAGTACATTAAGCAGAATAATATACATAATATTACTGATGTTTATCATTTTAAAGAGAGATGTAGTATAAAGTAGCAGAACATAGAAGTACAGTACAAGAACCGTGAATGTGTACAGTGTACTTTCTTATATTTCATGAATAAACTACCGAGAATATAATGTAAACAACGTCCTGCAGTTAGCTTAGTTGTTAGCACAACCTCTGTTTGTTAGCAGTAGCATTAGCATTAGCTGTAGCATTTAGCTTCGCCGTAAACTCGCTGTTGTCCCTGAAAACCAAATCAACTTTGATTATTTATATTTTATTATTTATAATTATTTATATTTTACTGAACGACCGTAAGTTAACAGTTATATCTGTATATATAAAACTAAAACAATATTATGGTCCGTTTAACTTGCTGACCTGAAGCGAATAAGAGAGACCGGTGAAAGGACGGAGAATTAACTTCCGCTGTCAAGCTTCAAAATAAAAGCGACAGGCAGAAGAAAACGCAGTGGTTGTATTGCGTTGCCTCTCGTTCTTCGGCTTTATTCTGAAGGGTAAAAAAATCACATGAAACCCATAATATTCCGGTTTGTAACTGACCTCGGTCCCACACTTAAAAGGCACCGTGCTCCGCTGGAGATCTGCCTGAGAAAGGTTCCGACCACAAGGAAAAAGTTGTTTTATTGAACAAGTAATTTACAAACATTTAATGAAAACTCCTAAAAACTCATTTTTTTTTAACGAAAACATTTGTATCAATAATATGAATAAAAATGTAGTTTCTGTAATTTAATTTACTGTAAAGGAAGTCTTTATTTAGCTTCCTCTAATTTGTAATTTAAAAAAAAAAAATATATATATATATAAATATATAGCTTTATGGCAAGATTGGATATACTGATGCATTTACTATATTATATTATTATTTTATTATATATATATATAATTGTACAATAAACACTTTATTTCAGTGGCTATATAAGGCTTTGCACAGTTAGCATTTGCATTTGTTTATACATTAATCTTCTATTTTAATTTTATATTTTCCACAGTAATTATTATTTTCCTGTTTTTACTTTTAATCCCCTTTCGTTAGCACATCCTCTATAATAACTGTCTTATTTATAACCCTTTACTGCTGTGTTTTTATTCTGTATTATTGTTTGTTTACGTGCTACTACCTCGGGATCAATAATGTATCTACCTATCTTATATATTTTGTTGTTTTTGTTGTACAATCTCACATATTTTGATTTAAATTGACAATCAAACTTCTCATCTTAATTTGTTGGAGCTCTTCCGTCTCATCGGCTTCATGAGACAGAAGCAGACAGTCGACCAGAGAGAGGAAGAGCATGTGACCACATCCTGACAACACACGCACACACACACACACACACACACACACACACACACACACACACACACAC